TATAGGCTCGACACAAAGGCAGTAACCCGGGTGTTACTAGAAGGTTCCGCGGGTCGCGAAGCGTCCCGAACGGGTCCTTCCTGAATTCGGTAGAAGGCAATTCGGTGGCAACCGAAAAGCCTAGAATTCGGTGCACTCAACCTAGTTCGGTGCCTACAACTATAATAACTATAGTAAAGGCAACGAATCTAGGAAATCAAGCAAAAGCATGCAAGATAAAATAAAGCTAAGCTAGTAATAACATAATAAAGTCCAGGCAAGCTAGCAAAGCCAGCATAAGCCGTCGTACTCTCACATTGCTGGCCCTGTGGTGTGCTATATGCTGCCATGAGGGCTATTGTTCCAGCCTGGCCTACATGTACAAAATGAGGCCTCACTTGCTAGCTTGGCAAGGTTGGCTAGCCTTGCCTTCAAGTTTGAGGTGCAGTGCAGCAGTTAGCCTCAAGTTTTCAGCCATATATATGTGGCTTCTTATTTCACTACAACTTATCATTGGACAAGGACATTGCTCTAGTATTTAATGCGTGTACCATCTTCCTAGTAAATATTATTCTCCTTGTCATTGTGCCCCTGAGTTCACCGAACCATTCTCTACAGTCGCTACGAGGCACTTCTCGTCCCGAGCAGTGCATCACGGTGAAATGCGGTGGAACAAGGTGGAACACAGTGGCACCCATCTGCAGTGTGCCTCGTACGGCGGCCGAACAGCCCCTCGGGGAACAGCTCGACATGGTCGCTGCGAGGGAGTGTGATGGAGGGAAGCACGTAGGGGAAGAGCGCGCCGCCCACCACCTGCACCTCCTGTGGCCCATAGATTTGTACCAGCTCACCACCTGCACCTCTTGCCTGTATCACATCACATCACCCACCTGCAGCGCGCCTCATACGCAAGGTTGGAAATTTTGCTAGGCAAATTCTTCGCTGCGAAGGTTTCGTTCGAAAATTCCGCTCTTTTTTTTCGGCGAAATTTTGTTTGGACCAAAAAAAAAAAGACCGTGAGGCGAGGCCGTAAACAATGTTGTGACTCCAATATCCACTTGAAACGCATGGATATAGGAGAGCGAGTGATCTAGGCATGATGCCGTTGTGGTGTATTCTGAAGTTGAGATTCAAACTAGAACTGACGGATTGTGCAAGGTTATGGACTTCGGGGTGGGTTGAGCACTGTCAAATACGCTTGACAAATTCGCGTGACTCTCGATTTTGGAATTTGAACCCCCACAATACCAAATCGTCACATTCTGTGCATCAAACCAATTTCTACCTGAATCGTGTATTACCACTCTGGATCTGGAAATCCCAACCCAACCAATCCCACAGTTGGGCTGATTGAGCGGGCTTTCCCAGATCTAGATCTCCAATCGACCCCCATTCAATTCTCGTTTGTTAGTTTCCCTCTTCAACCAGCGAGGTGTGAAAATTTTGCCGAAAATTTTTGTTTAAAATTTTGCACCAAATGCGAAATTCATAAACTCGGCGAAATTAACCGTAATTTTCGGGCGAAGTTTCGACAACGAATTTTTCGCCCAAATTTTAAAAAAATCGCCGGAAATTAGAACCTTGCTCATACGTCCTCCCAAACAGCCCCTCAGGGAACGACTCGACATGGTCGCTGCTGGGCATCGCGGTGGAGGGCAGCACGTAGGGGAATAGGGCGCTGATCACCACCTGCACCTCCTGTGGCCCATAGATCTGCAGAAGCTCGCCTGGCTCTATGTTGTCGTAGAGTGCAAAGGAGTATGCACTGCTGCCTGTGGGGAGGGGGGAGGAAGAACATGCAATGTAACACCCAAGGCTATTATAATAGAGCTACAAGGTTTTTATAGTCAATCCCAATACAAGTTGAAGCTCAAGCTAGCTCCTAATAGCCTTGGAAGTGTTGATCTTCTTGAAGTAGTTGATGGAGTTGCTTGAAAGAGTTGTGTAGGAGGGCTTATGAGAGAGCCAACCAAGACTTAGAGAAACAATCCCATTTCCAATTGTTTAGTTGGAGTGGGAGGTGAAGAATCAGCTTGCTAGCTCAAACCCTCTCAACACACTCCTTGGGGACCTCTCCCAACCATGGTTTCCATGGTGGGATGGTTCCTAGGCTTGGAGCCAATGTGGCAATTAGTTGGGTTGAGACAACCCAACCTAGAACCATTGAATGATTGTTTTTAAGATAGAGTAGTTTGTAACATTGAACTGGCAGTTTGTGATTGGTTGGAAGTCCAACCTCTGTGATTTCACTTTGATGGGTTGGACTTTCCCAATCCTCTTGGTTGAGGTTTGGAAATCCCAACCCAACCTTCTTTCCCAACCCAACCTTTCTTTCCCAACCTAACCTTCAACCACCCGTAAAGCAATTTCCATCGAACGATATCTCGACAATTGCTTAGAGTGCTAGGTCGATGGTTAGGGAATTAGGCGGGAAAGTAGGTCATGCGTTACATGCGAGAACATGCATGGGAAGAGCGCACCGCTCGCCACCTATCTGCACCAGCTCGCCCAGCTGTGCGCT